GAGAGAGAAAGAGAGAGAGAGAGAGAGAGAGAGAGAGAGAGAGAGAGAGAGAGAGAGAGAGAGAGAGAGAGAGAGAGAGAGAGAGAGAGAGAGAGAGAGAGAGAGAGAGAGAGAGACTATAACTTTTGTTTGAATAATTCTTGAATATAATTTCAGTTTTATTTCTGTTGTTTTTTCAGACAGAACGTATAATTTGGACGTTGAGGACGTCTCTTTAAGGAGACCGCGGCGGGAGGGTGGTCGTGCTGGGGGCCGAGGGGGTGGTGATGTGGCCGAACAGCCTTGGAGGTACTTCCGGCTGCAGCGGGGGCGCCGGCGCCGCCGATCTCGGTGGCCTCGCCGCCTCCACCACCTCGGCCTCCGAACTCTTTGGGCCCGCGGCGTTCGGCGCGTCCGCCGCGGGGCCCTATGGCGCTCTCAAGACCGGGCCCTACATGGGTCTAAGCATGCCGATCGATGCGTTACACTCCACTATCGGTTATCCCGGTTGTACACCCGCCGGTGAGTCCGTCTACTGTGAGTGCTCACCATTTTTTATTAATTTTAACTCAACTGATTCGAAAGAATTTCTTATCTTTAAATTGCACTGCTTATCAACATATAAACAAAGTGCGAAATATTCGACTGCTGTTGTATCTGTTAATTTTTATAAGTATTAATATAATTGTACTAAAAATTGCGGGAAAATTGTTGTAATGAATTATAATGTTGTACTGTAATTGGAGAAAGCACGTTGGTAAATCGCAGAAATGCTAATAATGATACAATACAAAATTATTCATTAATCGTGTTAATGTAAAAGCTTTTGCATTATGTACCGAAGTTGCTTCTAACTCGTGAAAATATTATTACTGCTATTAATTTAGTTATTAATAAATGGTTCATTTATTCTATTTATTTTATTAATCTTTATCGATTAGTTATTAAATGTAGTTGACCTGTAGGTACACCATAACGTATAAGATAACGCAGTGAAATTTATTAATTTGCTATATATTGTTGATATCATGCCGCGCGAAATAATGCAATCATAAATTAAAGATTTTAAAAAAGAATTTTTTCTCGAATATCAATTACTTATTATTTTCGAAAAAAGCGATTTTTTAATTTTTTTTTAATCTGTAGAAACACATTACGATACATGAATTAAGTATCGATATTGATGTCGTTCATAAATATTTGAGAGAAAAATTATAAATAAAAAACTAATCAGAAAAAATCCCATAATATTTACTGACATTAGGAATTCTGTATTAAAGGCAATCCAAGAAAGCAACGGCGGGAAAGAACGACATTCACACGATCGCAATTGGATGTATTGGAAGGGCTTTTTTCAAGAACAAAATACCCTGACATTTTTATGCGTGAGGAAGTGGCTATGAAAATCAATTTACCGGAATCGAGAGTGCAGGTGAGTCATTGACAACAATCCAATAATATTTCTCACAAATTGTTTTATAACTATTGCACGTATATCGTAAAAATCATAAAAAATTGTGTAATAATTCATCAGTATTATTCGTAATATTTAAATTACTACATCAAGAACTACTAGGAAAATACGGAACTTTAAGCGCGTAAAATATCTTCGCAAATATTTTCGTATTGCAGTAAAAAAATTCGACGTGTCTCTCCCCACGAAGGGCGCGAGGGTGTCTGATTACCGAGGGGGTTCGCACTATCGGCACGCAGACAGTGCGGACAACATATCATCGATTCTTTCTCATATGTCCTTTGTTGAAGTTAACTAAATTAATCGTTCGCCTTATACAAATGCCCACATATTCTTCGGACAAACATCTTAATATCGCAATTACGATGAAAGAGAAATTTAATAGGATTCAATTGGAAATTTCACACGCACGTTTATGACGCGAAGTTCCGTTCGATACAGGTTGCGAATATAACATATGTTGTGAAGTGTTAACAATACACGAAGCGCGTTATAACGTTATTCAATATATAACCACATAAAATCCTAGTAACAAAGGGAAATCGAACAAAAATTGCAATTGTGCAATTAAAGCGCAATGGAAATTTTGCGCGCAATTATTTATGACGGGTATAAATAAAAAGAAAGCATAAAAAAGTATTAAAAGCACCAAACGTTTCGGTTCTCTCGGATTCTTTTTGATGATTCAAAAAGGATGAAATTCATTCACCCTGGCCATATGAAATTGTAAACGACGCTCCCCTCACTGATATTCTTGCTCAATAGCAGAAAGTTGAAAGAATTTTTCTGTGCCACAATACCGCGAAAACCTACATGAAGGATGACATTTTCGGAATCAACATTTTGGCATTGCTCGGCTGACACCGTGCTATTTGCTCGTGCCGAGTTCGATGTCCACGGGGCCCCGAAAAGCGTGTTCGCGCATATTCCATTCTCATCAAGACCGGAAAGGACGCATCGCATCCGCAATTGCCGTCCAACACACCTGGCTACGGCCGTGTAAACGGGATGAATGGGCCCGGCATGGGCCATAGTCTTCCGCACGTTCGTCGGACGACTGCAAAACCGGAGATTGCTCTGTTCATCGACGTTCTCTGACCCTCGCATGACTTCTCGAACACAGACGGTTTTCGTTCTATTGTAGCTTCGCTACAGCTAAGTTTCCTCCATAATCAATACTATTGTGTCACTTCAGATTGTATAGTTTAAAATTAATTTTTTATAAAAGACCATTATATTTAGCAAAACAAATCAACCTCATACTAGGTTCTTTAATATCACAACATTTACCAATTAATCAATGAATCAGTGATTGATAAATTACACCGTATCAAGGAAAAAGGGGGAATTGGATTATATACTAATCTTATTATTTACATTTGCCACTGAAATAAAGAAAAATTGACATTTAATGTAAGTGTGCTATTATGGAATTCTTATGATAGACGATTGGTGTGTTTTGTCAGTCGAGTCGCATAAAATACTTTCGCGACGTTCTATCAAAAGCAAAGGACTCGTGTTATGGCGGTGCGTATACTAGACTTCTTCGGCGGAAGAATGCGAGCTGTTAGTATCGCCCCCTCAGAAAATCCGTAGAAACCCAAGCTTATACCTCTCCGCTTCTAACATCGATCGCGAGAGGCTTCTCCAAGTTCTACTCTCTCCTCCTGTCGCATTTCTCCCTCTACTTCTTTCCACTTGCTTCGTCCCTCCCTACATCCCCTTATCGTCCCAATGTACCACTTCTAAGGGCAAACAAGAGGCATCGCACCGTTCTTCACGTATCCATACGTCGTACAACAATCAAATTCGCGAATTATATTTCCGAGTCTTAATTCAAAGACATCTTTTTTGACTGCAGGCAACGAGCAAATATATTGCAACATCTGCTAGTAACATAAACGTGTTTGACAATGTCCGTCAATGTAATCAATATTATTCGTGCGCCGGCGAAGAGAAGAACGCTTTTTAGTCCGCAAGTATAATTAGCAGCTTCATTACAAGGTGTTCGCACAAAACCAGTGGACACTTTGAACGCAAACCGGAACGCGAGCCCGTTGGTACGCGAAATCGGCTTATTCTATTCAGAGAAGTTGCTCGGTGTGTGGGACGACCTATATTCCGATCGGTTTTCGTAATTCTGTTGCATTAACGGCAGTCTGGTAGCGAGCGTGTCCGATATATGCGTGGCGCGTTTTCGTTCGCGCTGCTGCAGTCAGCTTGATTGGTAATTGATAGTCGTGCCAGTCCGGCATTCCCTTATAATTGGCTATTACGCCAGCTTTGCGAGAGCTCCCGCGCGGCTCTTTGGATTCGTTCTGAATCACATTTGTGTTACGCATCGTTGGAACGTTGGAAAATATCAACTTGATTCATTTTGCGCGACAGATGCGCGACTTACTATTTATTTATTTTTTCATGGTAATGCAGCCGCGGTAGGGATGTCTGATTAATCGCGTCTGTAATCGCGTAATACCGCGGATAATTTCACGTGTGTTTACAGGTATGGTTTAAAAATCGGAGAGCCAAATGTCGACAGCAACAGAAGCAGCAACAGCAGCAACAAGATAAGGCGCCGAGATCGAAAAAGCCCTCGGGGAGCCCGGCTAATAATCCACCCCCTGGAAAAAGTCCTTCAATTACAACCCCGCCTACACCCGCCGCCGCGGTACCTGCTACTACGCCCTTGTAAGTATCACTTATCTTAATGAGCTCTTATCTTTAGCGCACGCCCGTAATCGCGCTAACGACTTTTATCTCGAACGGTGACGTCTCAGTCTTTTAACGTGTCTGTGCGAGATAATCAGCAACTTAATTAGCTTGATAATTAGTATTCTGATTGCGACTACACGCGATAGATGTTATCGAGATATCTACGTATATATTGCGCGAGATACGCTTCCTTACGTTCGGACTTTGAATGCATAAAGTCTAATTGCGGCGCGATTGCTGCAAAAATTAGGTGTTTGTATATGTTTGCTATAATTGCATTTCTGTATTCAGGAGTGGCGGTACGGGCGGCTCAGCGGCAAGTTCGCCGGCGCTTTTAAGGGACTCGCCGCAATATAAGCCCGCGGGAAACGCTAGTTTGCTGTTAGCAGCTAGCACGACTCCACCGAGCGTAAGTGGATGGATTATAGCAGTACTTTCGACGCATATAATGTTTACTCGCATATAATAGGTCGGTTTATATTCTAACATTTTACGTTCTTTCGCGAGAAATTATATTTTAAAGAATTATTAATTACCTTTTGTATGGAATATTTATTATTATCGTTATTATATGCTCATAAAATGCTGTTCTTCAATAGTTAGGTGGCACAGTGTACAGCAGCGGTGGTGGTAGCAGTAGCATCTGGAGTCCAGCAGTAACGGAAAGCGGTGGTGCATTTCCGGGTGATCATCAAAGATTAACGTGGACGACAACCCCTTCCCAGCAGCAGTGCTATCAAAATTATTCTTACTATACCAATATGGATTACCTCTCGCCCGCCTCGCATCAGTTAAACATGGTAGGTAAAATAACGTTCTCTTTCTCTAAGTTTTTTGCATAAACATACGTAACAATATCAGTTGTATCCCAGACAGTATCATGTCCAAAATCGAGACATAAGGTGTCTTAAAGATGTCCCCATTTTAAACATGCGTGCTGTCTGGGATGCCACTAAATTGCGTGCGCAGTGAAAAAATAAAGAACAGCAACTAGAACTAAAAATAAGTAAAAGCACTATTATCGGATTGTCAGGATAATGGAGGTAGCAGCCTTGATAATTCTTGGAGCAAAACGAGAGACGAAGGTACTTCATCTTGGTTTTACAATAGCGCCGGATGGGGCGATCGTAAGTGAACCTACAAGGATCGAAGAACGAAGCCTGAGTACATATCATCGACAATAGTGAAGTTATACGGCTTGAATCGAAGTTTATTGTAACGCGATGCCAAATAAAACGAGCAAGTTTTTCTCGTTTTGTCGATAAATGTCGATACAGACTAAACATATCTTTAATAAACTCGGCCAGCATTCGAACACTGTGGAATGTACAGGCCGATCAAGAGTGCCATACGTATCTTTCTGCATTTATTGATACAGTATAGTTTAAATATTTTAAATAAAACGGGATGTCCTATACATATCTAATTTTATTATCTATAAGTAGAATATTTTCTTTACTATTAACCCTTCGCGTGCAACGTCTTTTTCGGCACCTGTAACGTGCAACGTCAGGTCACTCATTTCCGACGCCTAAAAAATACTTTAAAGTGTTCTAAAAAAATCTGAAAAAATTCATGTTACTTACCTTATTAACTATCCTATTTTAAGGATCAATCGCTATATTGCCGATTTTTTCATTTGTTTAAACAATATATTTATATAAACAGACACTTGACATACAGGACAGTCACTTTCGCCAGGGCACGGGTGACCCGACGTTGCACACGAAGGGTTAAAATCTTTAGAAAATTTTCTACAAAAAATTATGTTATTTTGCAGGAAGCATTATTATTTGCATCCTTACTATTGCGTTGTTTAGCATTAATGTCTACAGGAGATAGTTTATATTTTACATAAAAAAATATATACATATAAGGTAACTCTGGTATTTACGCCGCGCGGGGACTTACGCCGCAGAAGTCAGAAAAAATAGAAGGAATAGAGATACTTGCTCGCAATCACACTGTTTTGTGCCTTTATGCCATATTAGTATTGTGTTGTAATTTCAGTTCTTCACTGTTAATATTAACGAAACCGTCGTGAGTTAAATCGATTTCCGTAGTAAGTAGCGCGATCATATATTACGACCTATGTAAAATGATTACTGTAGAGAATGTAAAAGGTTTAATGGTTATTTCATGATACATAAGTATAGAGGGATAGTGTAGAAAAGATGGAATACAGCAAAATACAAGTGCATAGCTCTTATATTCTTTGTATAGCTTGATATCTTATATATCCCTTCTGTTTAAGATATACGGCATTTTAGCATGCGGGATTTATACCATAGTACAGACGCTCTGTAAAAATCGAAATCTCCTATGTGTTCTTTTCCTTGGGTCGTATACCAATAACCTTTAATGTATCTATCGTTCTTCTATTTTCTTTTAAAAATTTTTTAGTTTTATAATTTGTTTATCATTCTTACATCTTAATAAACTTCTTACACACATTTTATAACGTAAAATGATAGTATTCCGCCAATATAGATTAACAATAATAAGAGGTTTTATTTCGACTCAATTGGCTATTATATTATAATATATATATTATTATATATATATATATATATATATATATATATATATATATATATATACTAGCTGGTTACCCGGGCTTCGCCCCGGAGGACATATGTAATCAGACACGCAAATAGTCTCTCCCTCTCTCTCTCTCTCTCTCTCTCTCCCTCTCTCTCCCTCTCTCTCTCTCTCTCTCTTTCTCTCTCTCTCTTAATACAATTCTTTAAAATTCGGTTAATTATTTCACATAAATTTGTCAAACTTTTGATACCGCTTTCCAAAAAGATCGGTAACGAAAAATTATATACTTGATAGCACTCCCCGGGAAATTCAACCCCTACTTTATGTACAATTCTTTGAGATTCGGTCATTCGGAACCGGTTTTTAAAAAAATCGGTAATAAAAAATAGTACATTTTATAGCACTCTCCGGGAAATTCTACCCCTACTTCATGTATAATTCTTTGACATTTAATCAATTATTTCCCGAAAAATTGGAAGAATTAAAAAAACCGGTTTCCAAAAAGATCGGTAACAAAAACTGTACACATTATGGCGCTCGCCGTAAAATTCTACCCCTACTTCATATACAATTCTTTCAGATTCGGTCAATTAATTCCCGAAAGATTGAAAAAATTTCGATACCGGCTTCCAAAAGATCGGTAACGAAAAATTATACACTTCATAGCACTCCCCGGAAAATATATATATAAAGTTGACACAAACGTTACGACGTTTCGATCCTTGGTTTGGATCCTTATCAAGCAATCTACAAAGCAATTTGGTCTAACGTCATAATTTTATAACTTATTATGACATTTTATTTCCTATTTATAAACATTATTTGTAATTTTTTATAAGGCATATATTTCACCCATGAATGTCATATTCCACCTCTATGGGATATATGGCAAAAATGCAAGAGTTTCTAACAGTTTTTTTATATTAAATACAAAGAATGAATATTTTATATTTATATATTTTTTTATAGTAGTAGACAGTATACAGTTTTTATTGGTATAATTCATTTGCCTTAAACATAGTAAATAATACTCGATAAATTAAGTTTTCCTTAGATGCGGCGTATATACCCCGGAGTTACCCTATCTACTATTAAATATATTCCGAATAAAATACTTTATAAAGTAAAGAATATCTTATATTACTTTTTAATAGTCTTACCATGATATTTTTATACACAGAATGACAAAACGAATCAACTTATGTTTAAAAAACTTATTTCCATCTCTAAAGAGCATTTATATATTTTTTAAGCGTCTTCATTTATAAAAATTATATTCATATTACGCAACGTATGCCATAAATCATTAGATTTGTTTTATTCTAACGTGCATTACATTTTAGAAACATTTCAGGTAGTAAAGTTTAGATAGGACATCCTGTGGCGTAATTGTTTTTCTGTTGTCGGCACATGCGTTCATGTAATATTCTTTGAGATATTTTGACCCGCGCGAGCTTTGTGAAATGTGTTGCGATGTACACGAAGTAATTTTAACTACTATTATAATCTGTTTTATTTCTTATCTCTCTCGGAACCCAAATTATTAAATAATATAATTGTTTAATATTAGAAATACGTAAAGATCTCAAATCGATGGTAATAGTGGTATTTTAAAAAGATGTTTCGTATTTTGATAGTTGTTTCAAAATTTTTTGATAGAGCAAAATTAATTAATATCAACTAGTCATGTTAATAAAATAAAGATTGAGAAATTAACACAGTGAAATAAAGAATCGCCATAAAGAACGAGTGTAATATAATTATGCCCTTTCTTTTTTCATAAATCATTACTTTATCCATTATGATGATCTTATAATGATCTTAATATCATATAATGATGTTAATAAGTTATTCGAGAGTAATTATTTTAATAGTTTAAGTAAATATTTTATTGTCGCGAATGACGACTTTTTAACGGTATATTATAATTGTTTCATGTGATCTCCGGGACAAATAACTATATTGTGTACATAATATAAATACTTTTACAATATTAAAAAAAATTATCTTAGATTCACACACGTTAAAAAAAATAATGGAATACATTCAAACAATTTAGTTCTCAGTATAACAAAAAAATTTTTAAGAAGAAGTATGCGTATGTCTAGGTATATACTGCATATGTATTGTACCATGTACATAAATTATATATAAAAGCATATATATATATATATATATATATATAGTGCAAGTTTCTCTATGTACATATGTATCATTCTTTCGTGTAGAAATACACTACCTGAATATCGAAATGAACTCGCGTTATGACATCAAAGTTGTTGATCATTTTCTTTTTAGACTTATTTCGTATAAAAAAAAAAATATTTTACCTTTTATAAATTTAATAAATAGCACACACCGTCCCGCTGTCAGAAAATTCGCATTGAATTGTCTCTCATACAATATTATCTTTGTATACAAAAAGGATAAGAATATAAAAAAAAAAGACGTTTAAAGTGATACTCATCGTTAATTTCTCGATTATAAACAGATTTTCTCGCAAAAACTCATTAACAAAATCTCATTTTACATGTTTAAATTTATTATTTTGCGCCCGGCTTTGCATCACGAATCCCGCCATATTTTGTATTTGTTATCTTTGAACAATTAAGTATTGTAATGTATAAGCGATTTTTTCCAAATTAATATTCCATTAAAAATATATCATTCTTTATTACGATTATCCTTCTTTTTAACACGCAATGTACAATAAGTTACAAGCGATTTCTGTCATATCTTATATGCTATTCAAACTTTTGGATCAGTCGGTTAAATTTTTGTAAATTCTGTATGGATAGTTCTACCCATATTATCTGCGCGTGCGAAAAATGTTTCAAATTCAACCGGACGATTTGCGTATCACTTTTGGTAAAAAACTTTTATTATCAATCAATATTGTCAACATTTTGGAAAAAGAGATCATTGACAACGGAACTTTACAAAAAGAAACAAAAAATCTAAACTAAATGTCGATTGTTCTCTAAACAGACGTGGTGAACGATCATTGATTGATTATAAGATAGAAAAAAAAATAAAGATCTATATGTAAAGTAAAAAAAAAGGTTTAAGATCTATAGGAATAAGTATGTGACTGTTTAGATTGTTATTATAAATATTATCAGTACTTATAAAATGATCGACACGGAAAACAACGACGTACATGTCTCAAGATGTATGAAGATAATATAACAAATTTGAATTGTATGTTCTCATTTCCTCCCATCTACAACTTTCTGTTTAAAATTTTCGTTATTCTATCAAAGTTTTTAAATGTTAAACATTATCTATATTCATATAAAATATTTTATTTTAGTAAGACTATAATATATCCTGTTCTTATTGCAAAAGTTACGTTTCTATTGCATCATGTAGATTATTGTAGATATAAAATGCAATTTATATTATTATTTATACCTAATAATTTAGGTTTTTCAGAGTTTTATATAGAGAATTATCAGTTTTAAAATTATTACATTATTTTCAAAACTTTTAAACAATATTGTGTCAGAAGTTTCGTATTTATGAGACTGCATGTCTATGTCTAACGCTAAATATTTTTAAAAATTTTGTATTTTTATTAATTTTATATTTATATGCATATCTACTGTTAAATTAAATTTTATGTTTATGTAGTGTACACTTAAAGCTATAAAATTTCTAAGTCTTTCTTTCATATAAACCATCTCGCAACTTTCTCGTCTTGAAGCCCAGGCAATCACTAATATTTGTAATAATAAGAATAAACTAGGTACAAAAATAAAAGATACATATAGAAAGTCATTTTCTAAAATATACATTTCACTTGCGATTTTTCTAATTATATTAACTTTTTTATTTTTACATTTTAATATTGATGAACCTTACAATTGCATTATCGAAATAATGTTGTGTAAATAATATTATTTTTTCTTAAAAGAAAAATATATTATTTAATTTCAGAAATTATTTGATATTTAAACAATATAAAATATTATACCACAATTAATCCATTTCTAGCTCAATTTTTCGTGCAATTATATTTCTGATAATTTGAAATATATCAAAAAATTATAGTTTAGCAATACAAATGTAAAATACGGAGTAATATGCTAGAATATTTCAATTATAATTTTTGCAAGTTACATTTATTGTTAGCCTGATATTTCGTAGGTAGGTAGAGGAGATTACGGCTATCTGTCCATCCAAAATTTACGCTTTTTCAAAGTTTATTGAAAAACTAATAAAAATCTTTGACTGAACATTTTAAAGAGATAAATTTTTTAAGTAAGAGAAAGTCGAGCGTAGACAGATGGCCCCATATGCGGGGCTATATGTATACGGGCCATTCCGCGTGAACCGGATCAGTCACCTCTCAGAAATGAATCAAATTTTGCATATCGGTAGTTTCTGACGAGATAAAATATGGTGTCAAATATATTTTTTTTAATTGCAAATTTTTTTGATTTATGAATAATGGAAAATTTACTGACTTTTTAATTAATAATTGCATAACTTTTTTCTTTTAAGTGCAGAACAAAAATTTTTTAAATAAAAGTTGTCACAAAAGGACTATATTTTATGATGAAATTATTTACAACATAAAAAAATTATTTCGTACTATTTATTAAACAAATTATTTTTCAATAATTTTTTTAACTGTCAGGGAGACGATCAAAAAATAAAAAAAAATTTTGTTAAAAACTTTCAAACTTCCAATATACCACAAAAAATTTTCGTTGATGTGTTTTGTTTCGTTATCGAGAAAATAATTGTTTAATTTGTGTACGCGTGAAGATTCGGTACTCGGTGCGGCAGCCACGTCTGTACGGTGACCGCTCTCGCTCGCTGGCCGCGCGGCGCGCTAGGCGAACTTAATATCTAGAGTTAATTTTCTCTAAAACGAAATACGATGATGATTCGCGACCACGGTTTGCTGGACTTTTCTCGTTTGCTTCACTCAGACTGAAGTGGATTGAAGATACGGCGAATTTGACTGGGACG